ATTTTGAGTTAGTTTGGGGAAGAGTCAACATGGTTTTATAAAAGGAAATCACACCTCATAAATCTATTAGAGGCTTCAGAAGACGTCAACAAATAGGTGTACAGCTAAGAATGGTCTTCCAAAGTCCTTCATCAAAGCCTCTTAAAGAAACCATGCTGTGATGGCTTAAGAGGTAAGGTTATATGAATAAGGGACTGATTAAAAGGCAGGAAACATAAGGTAGAAATAAATAACCAGTTCTGACAGTGGAAGGAGGTTGGCAGTGGAGTCATGCAGGGATTTGTACTCAAGCTTATGTTGTTCAGTATGACTTAAACCTGGAAAAAGGGAGGGATTTCGTGAGGTGGGAGTTTGTTGAGGTTATTAAGCAGCCAAGATAGTAAAGATGATGGACAACTGGGAAGTTTCAGAGAAGTCTCACAATACACAGCAACTGGGAAATAAAAAGGCAGATGAAATTCAATGTAGCTAATTCTGAAATTAGTTACATATATATATATATAAAAACTATCTAATTTTACATATAAGATAGCAGGCTCTGAACTGACTTTTACTGCTTGGGAATTGGACCTTGGGGCTATATAAAGATCTATGAGAAGGGCAGCTCAGTAGTCAGCCGCAGTCAAAGCAGCGAGTCACATTACTAGAAAAGGAACAGAGAATAAAATGGAAAACACCTTCAAGCCATTCTGTAAATCCACACTGCATCTACAATTCCAAAGCTATGTGTGACTACAGACCTCCTAGTTCAAAAAGCACGTAGCAGGATAGAAAAAAATGCAGAAGGGTAAGAAGAATGAACAAAGGCATGGAATGCTTTTCCCTCGAAAAATAACTAACTCTATTAGGACTTCTCCACTTGAAAGGAGAAAACAGAAGAGAAGGATGTTTTATAAGAAATCTATAAAACTATCAGCGATCTGAAAAGGTGAACAAGAAATGGTTATTGACTGTCTCTCCATAGAGCAAACCTAGTGGGTATCAAATAAAGCTAGCAGGTGACAGGTTTGGGAGATAACCCTTCCTGTACAACAGGTAGTAGCGCCACATGAAGCAGCGAAACTCCCTGCCACAGGATGCTGCAGATGATAAATGGTCTCAGAAAGCAAGTGGACAAATTCAACAGAGGAAAACCATTTACAAAAGTGCCATCTCTGGCACTTCAGACCTTCCTAAGTAACACAATCATTCATATAGCCTTCTGATAGGTTCTTACAAAGGCAGCCCAGGTGTCCAAGCCAGCTCACTGCAGCCATTGCTACATAGGCATGAAACTGCACACCTCAAAAACCTTCTGTATGGAATCACAAGAGCTCACCTCCTTGCTGATACCAGCCACTGAAAACACCAATGTGTTCCAGTCTTCTGGTTGCATCAATAGTTAATGCATCCACAGTTTTAGTCTGCTTCCACAGCCCTTTGTGAGATAGGATTGTCTTATCAAGACCAGGGTGGTTCCATTCTCCTGCTCAGGCTGATGAACCTGGAAATGATTCCTGAAAGGCCTCAGCACCCTCAGGAAGTAAATCCAGATGATTAGAGAGGCAATGAGACAGCTGTGAAACTAGACCTGCCATGGCTAGATGTGTGCTCTTCAGGAAAAGATGGCAGATGGTGATGGGGTTTGTGCTCTGGGCAACTGAGTGGCACGAACGCACGTACATTTGTGAGGAAACAGAGAATGAGACAATCAAGAGCTCACAGGTCAGGAGTAGTTAACGAAAGGGCTATTGTTGTGGGCATCTCCTACAACTCAATCAAGAAACGAAGAAAGATAAAGCCTTCTTTGAACAAACAGGTTCAGAACAGACTAGAACAGTTCCCATCTTCTGTAACTGGAAAACCCTCCATCTTCACTCACAAGGTCTGCTGTCAGGCCTGACAGGTGTCTGTATCTAGTAACAAAGGTTGGAGGACAAGGTACTATCACACTAGAGAAGGACTGGGTAGGGATGCAGTCAGCTGAACATACACAGGTCCATGGGCTCGGATCAGCTACATCTGACAGCGCTGAAGGAACTTGCCAATGTCATTGCGAGACTGCTTCCAACCGATTTTGAAAGGCTGTGGCAATTGGTGAAGTCCCAGGAAGCTGGAAGAAAGAAAATGTCATGCCCCACTTCAAGAAGGGCAAGAAAGACAATTTGGAGAGCTCCAGGCTGATCAGTCTAAATTGAGAACCCTGGAAGATTATGAAGAAAGCCTCCTCAAAACCATTTCCAGGCACAAGATGGACAAGAAGGTGATTTGGAACAGCCAGCATGTATTTACTAACATTAAATCACACCTGGCTGATCTGATTGCCACCTTTGATGAGATGACTTCCTTGGTGGGTGAAGAAGGAGCAGCAGATGTCATTTTGCTTAACTTCAGCAAGGCTTTCAGCAGTCTCCCACAGAATCCTTGCAGGCAAATCAAGGAAACATGGACTCTATGGGTGGACTACAAAGTTGGTGAATAACTGACTGAACTGTCAGGCTTGAAGGATGCTGGACAACGGTTTAAAGCCTTACTGGCTGCCAGCTGCAAGTGGCATTCTTCTGAGGTCAACACTAGGGGCCTGTGCTGTTCAATGCTTTTGTCTATGTCTTGCATAAGGGGATGATGAAGTGCACCCTCGGTAAGTTTGCAGCCGAGCTCCAGCTGGGGGGAGTGACTGATACACTGAAGAGAAGGCTTGCCATTCACAGAAACCTTCGCTAGCTGGAGGAAGGTGCCAACGAGAACCTCACAAAGTTCAACAAACGCAAGTCCTGCATCTCGTGTGGATTAATCCTCTACGACAGCACAGGTTGGGCACCTGCTGGCTACGGATGAGCTCTGTAAAAAAGGGACCTTGGGGTCCCGGTGAAGAGCAAGTTGAACATGAGGAGCAGTGCACCTTTACAGCGATAAGGCCAGCAGCATACTGCGTGGTGTAAGCAAGGGAGTTGCCGTCAGGCTGATGGAAAAAATTCTTCCCGCCCACTCAGAACTCTTCAAACCTGTCGTGGTTTAGGCCTGGTTGGCAGCCAACCACAATGCAGCAGCTCTCTCTCCCCTTGGGGTTCGAGATAGGACTGGGATGGGGGAAAATCCCCCTTTTATGATCACGAGCAAAAGGCAGACTCGTTAGGGGAAGAAAAAAAGAACATACATTTATTACAGACACTAACAACACATAACAGAGTAGGACAGTGAGAAGCATTGCCCCATCTTGAGAACACCTTCCCCCCACCCCTCCCTTCTTCCCGGGCTCAGCTCTGCTCCCGATATCTCTACCTCCTCCCCCAGGGGCGCAGGGGCAGGGAATGGGGGGTGCAGGCAGTGCTGCCACTTCCTTCATCTTCGGTGAGGGGAGTGTCCGAAACTTGTTCCTCCTGCTCCAGCGTGGTCCCCCTCTCACAGGAGACAGTCCTCCACAAACTTTCTCTGACTTGAATTCCTCCCACGGGCCGCAGTGTTCCCCACACTGCTCCGTCATGGGTCACTAACTTCCTCCGACTGGATTCCCTCCCACGGCTGCAGCCCTTCCCGAGCTGCTCCAGCGTGGGACTCCCCCCCATGCTGCAATCCTCCCAGCGCTGAATTACAGCAGCGGGGCTGCCTTTTCCCATGAGATCCCGGCCTTCTTCGGGCACAGAACCTTGATTATCCGAGCAGGAACAACAGGCTGTAAATCAATGTCTGCTCCACCGTAGATCTCCATGGATGGCAGGTGGGGCCGCCCTGCCGTCTCCCCACAGGATACAGGGGGGTCTCTGCTCCGGCACACCTCCCCCCTCCTTTCTTCCTCCGTTCCCCCACTGACCTTGGTGTTCATGCAGCTGCAGCAACTCCTCCTCACAAGTCCCACTGCCCGTCACCACGTCCCTTCTTAAATACGTTATCGCAGAGGCGCAGCCGATGGGCTCAATTTCCCAAACAGAAGTGGAGCTGACGTGGAGCTGGGGGAGCTTCGAGAAGCTTCTCACAGGGGGCCGCCCCGATAGCCCCCTCCCCTGCCACCAAAAAACTCCACCACACACTCAACCCAGGACAAAACCACATCGAGAGTGCCGCAGACAATTGTGGGCTCCCCAGTATGAGAGAGATCTTGACAGACTGGGGGGAGTTCAGAGGGGCTGCCACCGTTGAGACAGTCAGCGAGCTAGAGTATATGATGTGCAAGGAGGGGCTGTGGAAGTAACGGCAGTCTTCCACGACCTAAAGGGGGATTATAGAGAAGACCAAGCCAGAGTTTCTCAGAGGTACACAGCAAAACAACAAGAGGGAAAGATCAGAAGTTTGAACATGGGAAATTCTGACTGCAGTTTAGGAAGTGATTCTTGCCCAGGTGCCCAGAGACACTGGGAAATTGCCACCTTTGGGTATTTTCAAACCCGACCAGACAAGGTCCTAAACAACCTGATTTATCTTCAAAGCTTTGAGGTTTGAGCAGCTTTGTGCCTGCTTTCTAGATTACCTCCAGAGGCCTCTTCCAACTCCTGATGTTTCTGTGACTGTATAACTGCCATATAAATATATATATAAACCCCACTTTGCTAAACCATAAAACCTAAATAAATCCAAGCCTATGTAGCTTCGCTTATACAATGTAATGTTGACATGCAGACACATCCCACGAGGGCAATAAAAAAAATGTATAATAGATAACACCACACACTGATGGAAACAATAGGGAAGCACTATTATGAAGACCAACGTACATGAAACAAAGCAAGATGGGATTTAAGCATGCAGGCTTCCTAATAGGTGTCACAACTCCTATTTTACCATTCAGCTTTACTGGAGCAAATGATTTACAACAACACAGTGAGAATCAAAAACTCTGGTCGGCAGAGGCAAAGCCGAGTCCAACATAAAAATATTTTTGTTATGTTTATTTTGTAATTATCCCACCATCATGCACTGCCAAGTGCCGGAGAGCTCGTGTCACTGCATTTATTTTGAAGTCTAGTTAAAATAGTTAGTGAGTCTGCAATACTTCATAAATGAACATGCAGAAGGGTGAGCACGAATGACTTTTCATCACTATTTTATTTCACAGAAGCAATGCATTTCAGGCATTGAGAGGGAAAGTTTAGGGAAAACCTGCAGTTCTTAAATGACATTGTTCATAATTTAACCAAAACAATACAATATATAAGTAAATGCCACACAACTTGTGAATATTCAACTCTCTGAAGAGATCAGTACCTTCTTAAATAATGGGAAGAGAAATAATTAAGCCTACCTTCAGTTAAACACTCTTCAAATACTTGGCTTGCATTACTGTAGACAAAGTACACTATTATGTCTGTTTTTCCTGACAGTAGGACACTCCGTTATTCCAAATTTTGGTTACAAGCACCATGAATGTAAACAATGAAAACTTTCATTTCAAGTTAAGTATCAGTAAACAGAACAGAAATACTTGCAAACAGAACCAGTGAAGACAGCAGAAATTCAGAGTCCGTGGAAGCTCATTTGGCTTTCTTCCCATTCGGATTAGCACGGCAAAACCTGGAGCTGGGATGTTTGCAGAGCTGCCCGTTAATGCCGCACGTGAGCTACCTTGTGCTTTTCTTAGACCTCCAGCACCAGCGCTCCCTGCCGCGCCAGGAGACGGCCCCCAGATGTGCTGAGCTCCTCCTTGCAGAGGCATACCCTGGGTGGAAAGATATTTCAAAGCCTCCTCGGCGTTAAAAACCCCAGGCAGCTTTTGTCAGGAGGCTGGAAGTTGGCGTGACTCCAGGATCAGACAGACACATCAGCTCAAATCAGTTTTTAATTTCATGTTCAGATCAAATACTATCTATCTTATTAAAATATTGTGAAAACGCTTCTTTTTTTTTTTTTTTTTTTTTTTTTTCTCCCCTGTTTCAAATAATGAATACTAAAATTTTTAACAGATTTGAACCAAATTTATCCTGTTGGTTGTCATATCTGGAAGTGGATAGTGTTGATAAAATGGCTGTCCTATAAATATACAGTGCTTTTTCTTAATTTATTTTTGTACTACCATGAATATGACAGAAAATAATTAATCATAAACTCAAACCTGACTGTCCTAGGCATCGCCGCTTGTACGCTGAATTGCAAGCTGAGGGATAAAACTGCTGGCCTGACCTCACAGTGTTTTACATGTGAGTTTTACATGTGTTTTGACAGGGTACAAACAATAACACAGAGCACGACTTTGGATAAATTAGTTCTGCTGTGTTCAGAGGGGTTTTGATTCAAAGGCCACAAAAGTCAGAGGGGAGACTCTGGGGACTCTGAAGGAGTACAGAGCAGGTAAACACATGCACACCACGACAAATCCTTCATTGGTGCTATTTCTGGTCCCAGACGTTTCTTATGAGAACAGTTTACCCAAAACTGCAGAAAGCCTAAACAGTTTGGAAGGCAGGAGGAGGCTGCTGATCTCCTGTGCTCCTAGAGCTTGAATAGATTGTCCTATTTATCCGTTGTGTTTAACACAAAAGACAAGGTCTACCTCTGGTACGTGCCATGATAGCATCTCACAAAGAGGAGACTTGGACCTCAGCCTGATGCCTTTTTCCCTGTGTGGAGAAAATGAGAGAAAAAGGAAAACACCTTGAGAAGTAGCATCCTGACTCCTGACTAGCCCCCTGGCCTCTTCTGGCTTGGGGGGTGCAGGTTTAATGGAATTCCCCCTCCTCCCCTACAAAGCTGTACTCAATTCCCTCCAGGCTTTCTTTCAGGATCGTTTGTACAAACTGTGCATTTACTTACATGGGCCAGGGGACTGTGCTTTTTTTTTTTCTTTTTTTCTTTTTTCTTTTTTTTTTTTTTTTTTCCCCAAAGCAGCAATTCTTCTGAGTAAAACTACCTGGTAATATAGCTAACATTTGTCTCCACAAATGTGTTTTTATTCCATCCACCACAATGCCATCATGGCAGGTCTTCAGTGTCTGTGCCTGTATATAGGTTACATACAGCATTATACATACACCTTTTAACATGGTCATTTTCTCACTGGCTGGACCACAGCTGCAATAAGCACCATTTCTCTGTCAAAAATGTAACTTCCCAGAACGTGCATGATGCAATCTGTATATACAACTTAAATCCTAGTGAAGGTACTTAGCTGTCATATTAGCAGCTTTTTACTTACTTTTCTTTTTTTTTTTTTTTTTTTTTAAATACCAAACGAATTGGAGCAAAACGGGTTACCAAGAATGTGTATTTTAAAAACACCACTTGAAAAGCCAGTAAAATGTAACTTGTTCTCCCTTTGGAGCGAGGTATTTGAGAAGAAATGTGTTTTACTCAGAAAGAAGTATGCTTGCACTGGAAATGGGAAGAGTAAGTTTCTGCATATATTATTTTTAACAGGAAAATAACAACTCCTTAAAAAAATAGGGAGCTGCCATGTATTTGGGACCAGTGGTCTGGCAATATATAAAAATGCTGGGTTGTCTTCCTTGTTTTCTACTGCAGAAAGGTAAGCTCTGCACCGCCTGAGTTAGAAGTAGCAAACGTTGTTTATTTGTGTTTAAACAAGCCCTTCAGACAACAGGCCGCGCGGCTCCCTTCCAACCGGAACGGAGGGGCTCTTTGGAGGGGATGGGTTGAAAATGTTCTGTAAGGTTTCCCTTTTGGCACTTTGTGCATCCTGGGCTGTCAAAGTGAGAGACACAGCAGAGCTGCCTCTTCCCCGGGGATGGAGAGAAGCTTCTCCCCGCCCCAGCACTGCCAGTTCTCAGAGGTTAGAAGGAACCGTGTATGTCCTCCCAGGAAACGTCTTGCCTGACTCTACTGGAGATGTGATACTGGGACCTGCTGTGCTTAGACCTGCTTTTGGAACTTGTGAAAGGGAAGGAAGACCCCTTTCTCCTCCTATCTTTCCCGATTCAAGGGAATTTCTCAGGGAAGTTCAAGAAGTTTAGTGTCACAAATTACTCTTCATTTTCTGCCAAAGAAAACTGGATTATCATTTGCCTCTTCTGGTATCTCCTTCAGCACCAGTCCAAGGGTCAGTCATAGAAACCATTCATGTTGCACTGCCACACACAAGACCCTGTGCTGATCATCTCCTCCAACAGGAAGGTCCAGGGCACAACCTCAGACTGCTTTACCGTACACCGGTTGAGGGCACCCATCCCTGAAGGATCCAAGTGCTTTCTTCAAATATTTATCGTGCTCTGCCGTATCACCTCTCCTCAGCAAGGAACCCTCTGCAAGCTCAAGGTGGGCCCGCTGCTGTCATTCACAAGCAGAACACGTTTGCCCTTGAAGGTGTAAGACAGAGAAACCTCAGATGTAAAATTCTTCTTTGTTAGCTGGTGAAGCTGGGCAAGCACTACCATGACCATCCAGAGAACAGGGAGCTGCTCTTGAGGACTGATTGGGCTGCTTGGAGAGAGATGCTGACACGAATGAGCTGGAAGACCATTCAGAAAGAGAAGGCAGTGAACCAGGAGCTGACTCAAAGGTATTGCACATGGCTGATGCAGGCCTTCTGCTGGTGGCCACCTGCTTAGCCTTACTGTCAGTTTGTCTCTGTGGGGGAAGAGAGGCTTCCAAGTCACTGCAAAACCCACTAAGGGCAGAGTACGCAGAGACCACCGACAGGTCTGAGGAGGACAGCTTCATCCCCGTGTCTACATCAGTCTCCTGGGCACCCTCCAAGTCGTCAACGTTAAGCCTGGGGCTGCATCTCCATGTTTTCAATCTGGTCGCAGGTGACCCAGTATTTAAAAACTGAAACGGTTCACTGAAACGAAAAGTCTCTGCGGCTGAGGAGGAGTTCACTGTGGGCAAGCAGAACAGAGACTTGCTCCGTTGAAACGGCCGTGAAATACTGGAGGCACTGCTGGATCGGCGTGTGAAGCCTCCTCGATCACTGTGTCTCAAGTCCTGCTGGGAGAAACCAAGATAATGACCGAGGCCGTTTGCGTGAAATACCTCGTTTTGACCCATTTCTTTGGGTTGTTCAGGGACAGGTTGGTGGCTCTGGGGAAGAAAGGCTGGCAGGGTGGTGAAGCAGGAGTCTGTTGGCACAGATGGATATGGTTGCTTGTTCTGCTTTGCAGACTTCCTACACCAACTGCGTGTTTGCTGCAGCCAGGAGAGGGAGAAAAGAAAATCACATTAATACAGAATTGGCAGTCTTACAACCACAAGCCTCCGTTGCTGAGTTGTTACTGCAAATAATTATGAAGCAGACTTCATTCAGTATGCTTGCAGCAAATATTTCACTTCAATAACAAAGAGAAAGCACCCTGCCAAAATCCCAAATATTTACATAAGAAGCCTTGAAGACAACAAGAATAAACGGTAGAGAAGCCCTGCCTTGCAGGCTGAATTACACTAGCTCAGAATTCTTACTTCCTATTGACTTGTTCAGATTCATTCATATTCTGTCTTCCAACATTACTGCCTTAGCAGACAGCTGAAGAACAAAAATGAAGAAACGGGAAATGTATGTTAACATCATTATTATTTCTCATTTCTTCCTTACTGTGGTGTAAATGTTTTTAGTTTTCCCTCTGAAACATCAAAAAGCCCTTAGCAAGCAATCTCATACTCTGTCATCTCAATGGGAATTTATCACTTCTTTCAACTCCTTCACATTTTCTCTTTCCTGCCTGGTTAGCTGAGCAATGTGCTCTAGAGCCCACTTGCCCTATTAACTAGCTCTTAATGATTTTAAGCACAGATTTAAGCATCTAATTTGCTCGTAGACACCTAGACTAGAAGCCTAATCTGACGGTTATGGTCCGAATTGGGATCTGAATCTCATCCTGAGGGCAGGATTCAGGTTGTCTACCTGCCAGATACTCGAGCATTTGCGTGGGGACAGCAGCTGTGACAAATGGGGAGCCAATGTCCTCCTCAAGAAGCAGCTGGAGGCCAGGTGGCCACCCTATGGCATCAGACACTGCTGTGTGGGCAACTGAACTGAGGCCACGTGTCTGAGCGATCATAAGGTTTTCCATCATCACACTTACCTCGGTAAGGCGTTTAGAAGTTTGCATTTTACAAAGTTTAATTTAAAATATTTCTGGAATTTCTCACATCATACAAAATTCTAGATTTCTGTCTCAAAAGGGATGGGAACTAATGGGACCAAGTGCAAGATCACACCCTTGAGAATAAACAATAGTGTCAGCTGTGGGACTTATCAGCTGGAAACAACAGAGAGAGAACCAGATATCTTGGTCACTGTACACTGTTAAAATGACAAGGCAGTGACAAACATGATTCTGGACAGTGTCAAGTGAGTTCAAAAAGTATTAACGCACTGTGGACAGCATTGTTAAGGCCTTATCCAGAATGCCGTGCACGACTCAAATCATCCCCATGTGAAAAAGAAAAAACTCACTGAAAAATATGCAGCCACAAGGAAAAAAAATAAAATTAGATGAACTACCAATTGAAAAACCAGAATCACAAACTAATACAGGGTTTCTGATCACAACAGAAGAAGAAGAGTCTTCCGAAGTGAGTAACGGGTAAAACGAAACTTGATCATTTTACCAAAGAGATTATATGACATGACAGAAAGGGATGAAACCAGGCAACCGAGGAGGTCCTTCGTATCCCTTGTCTCTAAAAGAACACCATACACTACTGCTTCTGACATCTTGCTAGTGCGCATCAGATTGTCTTAGTGACCCAGATCTGTCACAGCCATCTTCTGGGTTTTACTGCAGTGATTTTACAGGCAAAAAAAGGATTTTCACATCTGCAAAAAAATGTTTTGCTCATTCCTGATTGCCTAGCTAGGGGTAATTTATAGGACAACTAAACCATAGGCATTCACTTAGGCGTTGTAAATGAATATATATATACATATATATACACCAATGTATCCGTAATGAGGTACGTTAATTCATAACCTATTTCTGTATAATACAATAAGATGTTTTCCTTAATACCATAAAGAATTAAATTAGTTAATGGGGAAATTAACCACGGTAGTGTAGCAATTTCATTAACTGATAAGAAATTGAGTACGAAAGAGTAAAATAAGATGAGTCAAATTGCCAACAAAACATTAACCAGAAATCACTTTAGACCTCCACATGCATCATTATTTTACATGTGCAATACGTGAGCTAATTTGTTTAAAAAAATCACTCAGCAAGATAAAAGGCTTGTGTCCACGAAGAAAATACCAGCTGTTTCTTAACTGAAGACATTTCTGGATAACCCAGCAATAACAATATGACATGCTGAAAGTACACAAGCAAATCGTTGACTTCTTTTGATGGGTTTGTCCAAGAAAACCTTGCTCGTTTTATTTTGTTTGCATTAATCAAAGCTACTATTTTTTTTTCCTGTTCAGCAGCTCTGATAGCAGATGCAGTACATGGACTCAACTGCCACGCCTGGTGACCCAACAGAAGCACCTCCAGCACACTTCTCTTACCTCTCAGAGGTCAATTCACCAAGCATGGTGGTTGAGTCCATGATGCACAGCTGTTGTCAGGGATTTCAGTGCCTAGGAATGTGCCTGGGCACTTTTCATTTATTAATACAGGTAAGAGCTTAAGCATTTTGGGAATAAAACACAGACACAAGAGTAACTGTACTGAGCTCTCTCCAATACTCACGAACCCTCCAGTTTAAATCAGCTTGTGTTAATTTTGGAGAGTAGATATGCAACACAGTAACTACAGGTGCAAGCAAATTACCAGTACTCAGAAGGATGCTTACCCTAGGCATCACCTATGAGAGTGTGGAGCAGAGGGCGACGGCAGGATAAATGGATGAGGCTGAGATGAAACACGCCTTCTAGAACCCCTGGCAGGGTCTCACGTAGGAACTTTCTAGCGAAAATGCAGATAAAAAGTAGAGACTCAAAGGAAAGGAGGAATGCACTTCTAAGTGGAAGCACCTGGAAGGGACAACCTGCTCCATGCAGCCGAGTAACATGAAGAACGTGGCCTGACTGGAACATGCTTACACTAACAAGAAAAATCTGCTTTAGGTAAGACATTGGTTTTAGGGTTTTGTAATTTCAAACGTTTTTTTTCCTAGCTTTTTAAATGTTCCTATGGACAAATAAGAGCATTTCATTTTATACAAGTCATTTGCTGTTATTCCAGGAGGTAATGGTGGATCACTGAGGAGCAGGGGACAAGTACAGCCTGCCCTTGGGATGGCTGCCTGCAGGGCAGGCCAAGAGACATCACCAACACAGCTTATTTCTGAACAGCCCTGCTCACAGGAGGAACTGTTTGCCTCAATCCTTTTTAGTTTAGATGTGTTGTGATTTAGAAGACCTATTTCCCAATGCTGCTCCTCATTATATGGGCAGAAAGGGGGAATAATAGGGGGGGGAGATTTTTTTAATACTTTCATCTTAAAGCAACATAACTGAAGACTTTCCTGACTGAGAATATCGGACTGCACAGCTGTGTTACAGGTAGAGCATCAGAAGCTCCATCTCATGAAATACTAGTGACTAAAGATACAGGCTAATCCTATATTGCAGAGAACTGGATTACATGGACTGATAAGACTTTTCTACATCTGCCTTCTGTATCTTGTCAGGGATCACAGGGTGGATCCAGTGATTTAGCCGGGATTAAAATTCAGGCAAAACTAGCTCCTATGCCTGCGCCAAGGCCACTGACTGTGCTCCCTTGTACCACCCTGGCACGGCACGAGGAGAGCCGCACGCAGCCTGCGCGTCCCTGCGATCGCGGCTCTTCGTTTTAACCTCGCGGCGCCTGACAGTCCCGCAAGGCTCGAACTCGATTTCCAGGTGTGAGCTGGAAATTCCCGGGAGAAACCACAACAAGCAGGTGGGAGATGCTGCTCTCCCACTGCCCTTTGTGCCATGGGATGCTGAAAACAGCAGGACCTATTTTTGTACCTCGAGAGCAGTGTGATGCACGCGCAGCCACTCTTTTCAGCAGAAGAGCCTTCTCCCCTCTCCTCAATTCTGCCATTGGCTTTGGGAACACTTGCATCTGCTTTAATTTTCTGAATTATTTTCTTTTTTAAGTTGTTACCTCCAGCCTCCTCACAGCTTGCTTTCTGCGTTGCCTGTTCCCTCGCTGGAGCCCGCCAGAGCCCTGCCTGGTACAGCCAAGCAGCCACAAGCACGGCAGAGATGCCGGAGAGGGGATCAGCCATCTGAGAGGACAAAGACTCGATCCAAACCGACACATTGGTTTTGACCGAAATTCCGAATACAGAGAGAGAGATTTGTCAGACCTCGCCACAAAGACGCGCAACAAACCCAGCCATTGAGCAAACAGAGTAGCTCTCTAACAGAACAGATTTTTTCATCTGGCGCTAATCTGCTGCTCATTTATAATCTCTGCACAAATCTTTGTGAAGCCTGGAGGGATTTAGAGTCTTTCTGTGTTACAATGGGCTGCAGAAGAATTTCATGACGAATATCCGGGAACGCCACAAAACAACTTAGGGCGAACCTTGCAGAAATGCACTTTCAGCTTCACTTGGGCTGCTTATACCCGACACAAAAAGTCTGTGAGTGCTCCTGCAGTCTATTTTAAGTTATCTGCTTTTTAAGAAAGCAGATAGTCATCTCATTATGCATTATCTGTATTAAGCGCTGCCAGCAAGGCTCTGCTGAGGTCAGAACCCAGCCAAACAGCCAGCACGGCAATGACAGCACCACCCTGAGCCCAGATTTTGCCTGCCTTGCTCAACAGGAGTGCAACGGTGTTTGTTTAATTGTATTAAAACCAGTGGGATTGATCCGGGAAAAAAAAAAAAAAAAAAAAATCAACACAAGAAAAAGGGGCAAAGGTTAGTCCTCAGTATCACCGTAATAAATCCTCCTTGAAAGGCAAAATGTATTCAGAAGGGCAGCATATCAAAAGGCAAAATGCACAAATTTGATTTAAAATTGAATCAAACTATTTGAAAAGTGGCATGTACTGTGTTTACAAAACTAGAACAGGTGGGTGCCTTGTAATGTTAAATATATTCACTGTCAAGTTTTTGTTGGGTGTGTAGTCATCAAAGATCTTACTATGCCATGAAACATAACTGCACTAACAGAAAAGACAGAGAAAGTACCTTAGGATGAAGAAAAACAAGTTAAAAATCTCCTCCTCCTTGAGTTAGCCACT